ATATATATAATATTATTTTTAAGTTTCTGCTTTTGAAGGCAGATAGTAATTAACACAGGCGCGTAAGCCGTGAAACATCTGCTGTCTGAACAGAGAGAACTGTACAGAATAAAGAAAGTGAATACTGCTAACATTTGTATACACAGCAGTCCCTCGCTATAACGCAATGATTTTTTCTTACAGTGCATTGTGTTCTGCATCCTGATTGGCTGTAGACCGTTGTCAGTTAATCTTGTGTCTCCTGTAACAGTCAGATAAGTCAAACTTTACTCAACTCATTCTTCTTGCTTCCTCTACTCCCGTACCATTGATTCATTAATGCTGAATTCTCTGGCAGCTGCTCTATTCCCATGTTCTGGACCTGAAAACAGGGTTTGATCTTTGGTTTCTATAATACTGGACTTATTTTTCTACGAAGGTTTGAACTTTGAGAGTTTAAACAAGAGAGAAAAGTGTGAAAATGTTCATGCCTGTCTGAGAAAAGTGTATAAAGTGTGTAGTGAGGGGTTTCACAGCCGTAAAACATCTATAATAATTGTAAAAAATAAAGTTGGCTACCTCGTGGATTTCACCTATTTTTAGAATGTAATAAACAAGGGACCGCTGTACTTATAAATGTTAGAAGTATACTTAACATTTATATACTTATACTTACTAGGAAAGCTTACTGACCATTAAAGCATCAAATAAAAAGTATAGACCCAGAAAGAACTATGCCCATATCTCTTCTGCTTCCTGAACTCCACAAAGGATGTCATCACTACTCATTGTCCATAACTGGGTGTAAAACAGCAACAATCGAACGTATTGGCCTTTCACTGTGTGGTCTTGTTTAGCTGCTCTCTCTGATGTGAAGTGTTGAAAGGAAGGTGGACAATGATGTCATCATTGAATTTTACAGCATTGGAAAGTGGAAGTGATGTAAAAGAATAGTCTGACAGCCAAACACGTGGGGAAGCAGACAGATGAGTGAAGAAAGTGAACATGATTTGCTGATATACAAAATTCAATTATGCTTTTTGGCAACTGGACTCTGATGGCCCCTCACAGCAGAATGAAATCCAAGCAGTGATAGAAATTACAGCAGAAGAAAACAAACAGCAGTCTTGCTGTTGTAGGAAGTTCCTTCCTGTTAAAGAACAGGTCAGACATAACATGAATAAACATGTATCATGATGAGTTAGAAGACTTAGGGAGGGCTCCGGATAACAAAGGCATAAAGCAAAGCAGAGCCTGAGCCTGCAGTACAGCTCAGGGGCCACTTCAGGGCAGGAGAGAGCAGAGTCTAAGATAAGGCAGATACAGAGCCTGTGATAAGGCAAGGTGTAGGCGAAGGACAGGACATGAGAAAGCCTGCATTACAGCTCAAGGATGCTGATGGATTCCTGACTGAACATAATCTTTACACTAGATTAGCATAGTGCAGATTAGCAATTGGAGTTTAAAAAGAAGTCAAGGAATCAATTTATAGACCAAAATGTATTCAGACTTTTCACTCATCAAAGTAGCCACGGGATATAACAGCTGGACACACCTGTAGTCGTGGCTCATCATCAAAACACTCCACAAATCCTGCCAGTGATTCACTTCCTTATAAACCATTGAATCAGGTACTTTCCACAGTGATTCCCAGTATATTACACAGAAATAAGTGCACCTTTTCTATTTTTTCATTTGGCTTTTGCTTTGCTCCTGATAAATTGTTTTCAAATGTTGTGTATCCAAACTGTGGACATTCCCTTTTTAAGCTTTTGTGAAACAATAAAGGTAAAAACCTACGTATTATTATTATTACATTATTATGAGGCCACACATAAAAAACAACACAAAAACATTGACAATCAATACAATCAATATGCACATTAAGAGACACAACACTCAAAACACAGACAGACAGCACAGCAGATACAGACTGCATGGCTACAGTTTGATTTTATGTACACTGCCAAACGTTTTAGGACGCCCCATTTTTTCCAGTTTTTTATTGAAAATTATGCAGTTTAGTGTCTCATTAAGTTTTGTTTCCTTGTGCTTATTAGTTTTTTCTAAACACTGTATAATTTCCTGTTTTAGGATTTGTGTCTAGTTATAGAGGATCATATTAGTTCCCTTTAGTGTTGTAGTGTTCCTGTTCCCTTACTCTTGTCTCTTTGTTTTATCCTTTAACCTCCTGAGACCTGAACTCTTTCATGGCATGCTTTTCTAATTTCTCTTCACTACTTGGGCTGACTGGGGCCTGATGAATGTAAAAACAAAACATTACCTGATTTTTGTTTCTGAGAAAAATGAGATCCACATATGAGGACATTTGCTGTAAATTTTGATAGAGCAGTGGCAGCATAACGTCCTCGTGAGTGGATATCAGGCCCTTGTAGAGCACAATGTAGTACTTTGGTCCTTCCCAATGAATCATTCAACCCAGCAAAATGAGCAGAAAAAGCCAAGAACTCTAAAACTTGGGCGGAGTTTGATCCTTCTTCATGTCTCTGCTGGAATTTCCAATGGTGGACGTCTTGTGAACTGCTCGTTCCCAGAAGACGAAGCGAACGACACAGAACATCTCCAGAAATTCCCAGTTTATGCTCCGATCTTACATAAAACACGCTGATATCTACCCACACCACATTATCCTCTCCATCACCGAACGTTCAGCTAATTTAAGGTATTTAAGTTCAGCTTTTAATTTTATGCTATTTTACTTCAGTTGGATTTGTCTTTAGCAAATTCTCACAAGAGCACTCATCTTAGCACAATCCCTTTTAAAGCAGTTAAAGCAATACGTTTTCTTTAAAACTCTGTGTTAGTTAATCACAGTTTACTCAATGCAGTCATCGTTTTACTAAAGTCAGAGGTCAGAGTGTCCTGTGCATCGCCTCGCAGCATCACAACTCTCAAGTTTCAGTTAGGCCTGTCTTTAGAATCGTTATTACATTTTTGCATTGCTCAACTTAAACACAATTATATCTACCTGAGTATATTCTGATTGGCACTAAGTATAGTAAACTGTCAGCAAAAGCACGTGTGAATCATAATCGTGTTTCACCATTACAACATTTAAAACTACTGACAGGTTGGTTGCACAGTTCTGATCTTCTTACTCCCAGAGATGAATATAAAGGTCAGTGATCGATCATGTCCACACCTCAAAATCCAAACATTTTTACTACTCAAATTACATTCGATTATATCCTTGATTAACAATAAAGAATAAAGTTACTATTAGCAAAAGCACACACAGACAAGAGTGCTTTAACACTTTATAAATCACATATAACACTCGATGGTGAGTCTTATATGATCCACGAGTGTTTGTTGCCTCCATCATGGTGGTGTTTTTCTCCTGCTCTGCATCAGGTTTTTAAAGATGACAGATATTTAGTTTGGCTCGTTCAAAGTGGAGATGAACTCTTTTGTCCAGGAGCGTCTGAAAAAAATAACAATCTTGGCTGATTACAGTTATTTTTTAAAGCCACTACATAATCATAACAATTACACGACTCCCCCCTTACTGAACGGTGTTGCTGATGAGTCTCCGTTTTCTCCTTTTGTTAGCTGTTGAATTTTAAAGTTTAGCTGAACAGTTCTGTAAAACAAAAATGCATTCATGTGTTATATGTCACTTTTTATTCATCATATAATTATAAACAGATAGAACACTGACACACCTGTGCTGTTACATGTTGCTACAGCAGACTCCTGTGACTCATAAAGCCAGTGATTTGCACTCTTTCACTAAAGTTCTGAATCTTTCTTTCAGCAGCGCCGACAGGAAGTGACCTGCCATATGTGCCACAGAGAGCATCTGCATCCCTCCAGATGGAGACTCTGCATCATGCACCTTCTTCTCATTCACTTCTATTCATCTCCTCATTTCCCTGAGCACTCATATGACGTCCACGGCCCCTCCCTGCGCATAATCCCATCTCTCCGATCTCTCCAGCTGATCCTTTCTCCGCTGCTAAACACACGTCTGGGTTTACGCACACATATGGTTTACACACACACACACCCACACACACACAC